TTAATTTTCCTCAGCTTCAGCTTGAACTTGCATATGAGTAGTTGGTGGTCTGTTCCACAATCAGCTCCTGGCCTAGTTTTCACAGCTGATACTGAACTTCTCCAGCGGTCTTATTTATTCACTGTCAAACCATCCTTTCAGATGCATACACATCTTAATTTAAAAACTGTTAATCCTTGCTCTTTAGCACTTTAATGAGGTCCTTGACAATATATTTTCCCAATATGACAACTTTTGATTGCTTCACTGCTGTTACCATGGATATGGACTGCAGAGCCACATAAAACAAAACTGTGAACACCTTAAATCTTTTCTCCATCAATCATAATAGTAGCTCTTGGTCCAGTGGTGACAATTTCTGCTGTCTTAATGTTAAGACGTAATCTATCTTTAAGGTTGTAATCTTCTTAGTGCTTCAAGTACTCTTCATTTTATACAAATAAGGTTGTGTCATCTACATAATACAGACTATGCTGAGGAGTCTTCCTTCAGAATACAGGTTGAAAAGTTGGGGAAAGGGACACAACCCTGACACACATATTTCCTGATTGTAAACTTGTGCTGTTTGGACAGCTGCTTCTTGGTCTGTGTATAGGTTTCACAAAAGCACCGTAAGTGTTCTAGAATTCCCATTCCTCCCAACGTTAGTCACAATCTATTATGATCCACACAGTCAAATGCCTCTGCAAAGTCAATAAAACCCAAGTAAACATCTTTCTGGTATTCTCCGCTTTTAGCTAATATCCACCTGACTTCAGAAATTACATCACTCATGCCTTTTCTGAATTCAGCTTGAATTTCTGGCAGTTCCTGGTCCAAGCTTTTAAAAATAATCTTTAGTGAGATTTTAAATACATGTGATATTAAGGCTATTACTCCTTAATTTTCATACTCTGTTGGATCACTTTTTGTTGGAAAGAGAACAAATATGAATCTCTTCTAGTCAACTGGACAGGGAGCTGTTTCCAAATTTCTTCAGTTTCTTTCACGCTTAGCCATCAACAAAACCTTCCCATTTTTAACTTGTTAATATTAGGTCGTATGACATGCTGCCATCAAAGTATACAGAACTTCACTGACCATATGTTCCATTTACGTTAAAAACATATTTTTAAAAAATGGTTCAATATTAAAATGAGGTTTGCACATCATTAATAGCACCATTATGCTTTTATCAAATTACAATTATCAATACCCCAAGCATTATGCGATCCATATTGTAGATTTCCAGTGGCTCAGGGATTGGCTTAATCCCTAAAATTCATGTATCTAAAATACAGTGAAACCTGAAAAAGGAACTCGTGTAAGGCAGAAAACTGTCAGAGAATGCAAACACAAACATTTCCCATTAAGGGACAGTGGCAGAAAAGGGATAAAACTGCACCTTGTCAAAGACAGAAAGTTTTCAGGCCCTTCAAGAAGAAGGAGGCAGTCTCATCAAGTTCCAGCTCTCAAAGTCTATATAAACATCTGTTCTAGAGAATTCTTTATATTCCTCCCCCATCTCTGGAGATGTAAAATGTATTATCAAACCAGTGAAGCTATGTATTTGGAATAAAATTAGCTGGAGGACTGTTCTCCCTTAGGTGATTTTCAAAGTAGATACCTTGCAAGATCTTCATGATTCTAGTGGTTGTACCTTAAAGCTATTAACCAAAATGTAAAATAGACAAAAATCAGTGCACTTAAGAAAACTAAGCACTCTACAAGGGGCTTACTATATGTGAGGGATTTTTTGTTTGTTTGTTTGTTTTTGTTTGGTTGGTTGGTTTTTTACTATGAATTATCATTTATTGGCCTTTTTTCTACACAAGTCAGCTTCTCTAAAATCACTATATTTGTATTAAATTTCTTCAACAAGGTTCTCTTCTGGGGCACCTAAAGCAGAGGGTTAGAGAGCTCTGATGGCTCAGTGGTAAGGAACTGTGCTGTCAACCCAATGGCATGCAGTTCAGATTTACCAGCTGCTCTGCAGGCGAAAGATGGACAATGGTCTCTCAAACGATTTTTAGTCTCTAACAACCTTCTAGAGGGTCAGCTATGTGTTGCTTCTTACTCTTGATGGCACAAAATAACAACAATGCACCAGTCTAGGACATTACCTCCAATTCATTCAGCCTCTGGATACGTGGAGTAAAATGAAGTTTATCAACATCACATGCAAAGGGTGGCTGCCAATCCTAGAAGAGAAGCAAAGGCTTTATTATTACAGGTTTTACTGACATTTAAAATATTGTCTTAGAAGTAAATCCTTGGCTAAATAAGTGCGTGATATCTCTAACCAGGTACATAAAACAGAACATCAGATAAGTTTCTCAACTTTCCCTCATGAACAGCAGAAAACATATCAACACTGTTTCCAAATGAAAGTATTATTAAACTCAAGTGATAGATATTTGGATATAAATGATCATCAGCTCACACAAACCACCCTATGCACCCTGTCCACTGAATCATGCCACAATGAATCGCATTCTGCCAAAAAAGACTTAAGTGAAAGAGACTGACTTCTTAGAGAAGGAGCTCTCTACTAAACAACTCAATTCATGTTAAAGTCTCATATAAAATATACTGGATAAGGAAATAGGCAAATATGAAAATAGTAAGTATTACATACAAATGGAGGGAAGTGGACCAATACTGGCAAAGGCCCACACATACACACAATAATGAACTAATAAAGATAGAAACATTATGGTGGGTTGGTTTTGGTTTTTTCTAGATCTCTTGCATCTGACAGAGTTCTTCTATGTGCTAAGAAGTGGGCATACAGGCTAACAAATGGAAAATTAAATACTGGAAATATACAAAGCAAAATTTTAACAGCAACTATCCTTGTTGGTGGGATTAGAAGAAATTTCTTTTATTACCTCATGCATTCAAAATACAGTTTGAAATATATTAAGTAGTATTTGTAAATATTAAGGACTGTGGGATCATAAAAAAAACAAAGTTTGATAGCTTTTTACTGAATTTTATATTAAAAAACAAATGTTGGCATATGCAACTCTGGTGACCTAGCGGTAAGGAGTTACAGTGCAACCCAAATGCAGGCGGTTCAAATACATTAACTGTTCTCAGGGAGAAAGATGGGCCCTCTCACCACCCTGTGTGATGTACAGTCTCTGAAAACCCCCTGGAGGGTCAACTATGAGTCAGTTCCCTCCCAACCACACATAACAACACAAGAAAAAAAGATTTATTGCACTTTCAAAATATGAAAAAAATTAACTCAAAATGCATTGAAAACAAACAAGAAAAAGACCCAGAAGGATGTCTATTCATATTTTATATGCGAGTTTAAAAAGAATATAAAATAAGCTGTGACTGAGTCAAGTCAACGTTGTCTTAGAGTTCTGCTGTAAAAAGGTACTGCGTGCTGCTTTTCAGATGTAGATCATCAGATCTTTCTGCCTAGGCAGCACTTCTGTGTCAAAGTGAACCACCCCATCCAGGTTCTCCTCCCTCCAAAACACAGAAGCAAACGGACTTTGTTTTGTGTGACTCAATAACCAAAAATAATATGCTTTCTGTCCTTTCCCAGCATCCAAGATGTCGAAGCAAGGATGTAGTGTGTCCCCTGTGCGAAATTCCAAATTTCCCTGGGTCTCACAGTAGAAGCAGTGACCAAATGTGCTCACAACACAGGAGCAAAACATCTACTCTGTGAAGGGGATCAGTGCACAGCTGAAGACTTCCCGCTGCTGGAGTGGGCAACATAGTGAAGGCAACAGTCAAGAAAAGGAAACCAAAACTCAGAAATAAGTTACATTCAGCAATGCATGTCATATCGGAGAAAAGATGGGGTATTTCTCTATCATGAAGACAAGTTAGGAGTCTCAGTAAACAACAAAGATGAAATTAAAAGTTCTGCCATCACTGGCACAGATGAAAAGAGTGTGCAGACTTGTGGCCCAGGACTTCATCCAATGCCGGCAGTGTCGGGTGATTTGCTAAATGCATTTGAAAAAAAAGAAATTTAAATTGTACCTAGTTAAAAATTATTTACTACCCAAAAAATGCTTAGCTGATACAGAGAAAATGTTAAGTGCTTCATGTGACTACAACACACAGCGACTCTACGAAGACAGATCTGAAACTTGCCATATCTTGTGACATCTTCACAGTCACATTGCTTCTTAATATTCTACAGCAATTTAACAGGAAGCACATTGCTCAGAGCTTTGTGTTAACATTGCTCAGAGCTTTGTGTTATCATTTTTAAACTTCTGAATAAATAACAAAATATTTAGTCTTAACACACAATTCACAGGCTAAAATTTTTGTAAACAAAAAACTTGCATTTTCAAGCTGTATCCTCAATTCCTTCTCTCAAGGTGGTCGTAGAAGTATGGAAGGTGTGGTTAAAAAGTATATAATGTAAAAATTACTTTTGTAAAACCTAGTCATAGAACTGAATGATATAGAAATTAATTTCCACAATTCATTTCATAATCTGAAGCCTATATTAAAGTTTCAGAAAATGAAGTTCACTTTTATATATAACACTTTTATGTATGAACATATTATCCGTCAATACAAGAATATTTTTTTAGACTGAAGCTTTTTCAAATAAAACAAATATAAAAACAGAATGCCAGAGGAAAATTTTAATATGGCTATCCCTGAGGAAGTTTATACTGTAAGTATAATTGAAAGCGTTTCAGAGCATTATTCTTTAACTAAAAGTTTTATCAAGACCAAGTGTTGACTCTCCCTCCTTAGAGAAAAAGAAGTGTCATTTGGTTTTGAGATCTCTGTTGTCAACTGCCAAGTTTTACTCCAACAAAATAATTGCCTATTGTTAAATTTTCTTTCTCATATTAAAACTTAAGATATCTTTAGCAACATCTTACTTCACTTTAGAGTGAGTAGAGAAGCTACTAAGGAGTGAAGACAAGAGACCATTAGAAATCTGACAGGTAAAAATTCTGAGAGGAGAAAGCAATCCTAATGTAGCCCATTAGACAACAAAAGAAACACTGCATTTAGTAACACTGAGATAATTTTTTGGTTTGATACTTAAGTATCTCAAAGGAACTATGAATGTCTTCCTGTCATGTAATTTAATTGAAATGAAATCTTTCAGCCCCTTATCAATAAAACAGATCATATGTAGTCAGTCTTTCCATACCAAATAGGCAGGTTTGAAGAGTTCCAATAAGCAATCCCATAAAAATTCCTCGCTCAAGTTGATTTTTACAATCTTAAAATAATTTTATGATGACTCTTCAAAATAAAAGTTCAACAATTCAAAAGGTCAATTATTTTCCTTAGCATTAAAAAAATATTCCTTAAGAAGGCAATTAAGTAAGGTATTGAAGATTCAGTATCCTCAGGAGAGAGCTGAAAAACCCCAGGTAAATATTTTCCTTGGCCACAGCACCAACCTAGCAACAAATAAAAGCACGTGTTTCAAAATAAAATCACAGCACAAAAATTACTTTCAAAAAGGATGCCATATTTTTTTAATATCAGTACTTTACCATTAGCACCCATGTAACTTCTTAAATCTATCAATACCAGCTTTATCCTTTATAATTATAGAAAGTTGTCATTTTGAGATCTGATAATTAGCAAAATGAGATAGCATATTCTCGACTGAATTGGCTTTGAATCCTGACAAAGTCAATTAAAAATCAGTATCAGAAAGCACACTTGATTATATGAAAAACAAACATGATCAGTAAGCCCCTTCAATCAAAGGAACTTAGTAAACTTGGTTTACTAAGAACAGCATTAACTAAAGATCAAAGGTTTGTTTAGGGTTGGTTTTATTTTAATCACATACTTTTTTTAAAAAAAACTGAGCAGTCATCATAGAATAAATTAAGACAAGATTCTAATCCTATGCAATAGAGGTACACCTAATTTTCTAAATTTATATTCTTACCGTTTTTAAGTTACAAACAAAACAAAAAATGTTAGTGCTCAAGTTTCAAAGATTTAAGAGTATAAAGATGTTAAAGACTGCAAAGATTCATCAGCCTTAATAAAAACTCACATAACATATAAGTAGCATAATTTAGGGCTACTTCCTCAAGACATCCTTAAAACGTGTACACAAAACAACTATGAGATACCATCTCACCCCAGTCAGAACAGCAAAATTTAACAGAACAGCAAACAACAAATGCTGCCGAGGTTGTGGAAAAACTGGAACCCTTATTCACTGATGGTGGGAGTGAAATAGTGCAACCACTATGGAAGGCACTCTCTCAAAAAGTTGCAACTAGAAATACCATTTGACCCAGCAATTCCACTACTGGGAATATACCCTAAAGAAACCATAACTGCCATCCAAGCAGATATATGCACACCCATGTTTATTGCAGTTTTGTTCACAATAGCAAAGAGCTGGAAACAATCCAAGTGCCTATCAACAAACAAATGGATAGAGAAGCTCTGGTATATTCACACAATGGAATACTATGCAGCAGCAAAAAACAAAGAAATAATGAAATATAATACAAAAATGAGTGACCCTGGAGGACATTATGCTGAGTGAAATAGCTCAGTCACAAAGGGCAAATATTGCATAGGGCCACTGTTGTAAAACAGGACTGTATACTGCATTGAAACAAATGAGGGTTATTTCTTTGGGTATTATTGTCATGACAGGAGTCCAGAATAAAGGCTGCACAGTGGAGTGGACTTGGGAGCAGAGAATGTATAACAATGAAAGAGTATTTCTTTTTCTTTTCAAGAAGAAGAGTGAATTAGGGGGAAGGTATGGAGAAAAGTGCAACAATAAAGGACTGGAAACGCTAAGTCTCTGTAAACTTTCATTAAAATTAATTTTTAAAAAAACACCATGTGTACAATTGATAAAGATATAAAAATAAGCATATCGCAATCATTACATATGTCTTTTTAAAAAGACAAGCAGTAACTCTTTATGGGTCACTTCCAGAATTCAACTGCCACAGATGGTATCTGTCAGGAAATCTTTGTAGGACAGGTCTGTATTCAATGTCTTTCAGACAGAAAAAAAAATGCCTTAGATAATGTTGCTAACTATTCCACCCTTCCCTTCTCACATCCTTTAAGATCGCTTGACACTGGCCAACTTTAATTAGTCACTCAATTGTTCAAAGGCTGTTTCAAGATCTCCCAAGTATAGCAGAGATGATGAATAGGACGCCACAGACGAGGACAGGGTTCAGACCCATTCCTTG